GGCGTTTTTTCCACCCTGAGGTGCAAGGGCAGAGCTCTTGGGTCCTGCCCACCAGTGCCGAACGCCTTGCCAGCCTTGACCCTGTGCCTGCCAGCCGAGTTCAGCAGCAGGTCCCTCCTGCCGGCCTCCTGCCCTCCAGCCACGCCACGCCCCACGCCCGGGGCCCTCGCTCTCCTGCCTGTGCTCACGCTGCTTCTCTGTTCCAGTGCCCTTCGCTCTCTCCCCCCAAGGCCCGGGAGCATTCTGCCCCTCCCCCTGACCTTGCCAGCGTTTCGTCCTCTGCGCTGCCGGACGCCCTGAAACCTATCACTTCAAATAAGGGCTTCTTTGTTTATCTTTCTCTCCCCAAAACTCCCGATCCGCTCTCTTCTTCCTCTCTGTGGCCTCAGCTGCTGACACCACCCCTGGCTCATGGTGGGTCCTCCTTGGCTAAATGTGCCGTAGGATGTGGCAGGCGCTGAGCAGGGCGGGGAGGAGCAGGGCCTTCCCTTGGGGAGGCCCCAGGCCAACAGGGGCAGATGGAGAGGAGCACGGGCACTTGTGTCAGGGAGAGTGAGCAAGACCGTGACGGTGGTGAGTTTGGGGGTCGGCGGCTCACGGGAGGGCATCTTTCCAAGCTGCCAAGCCTTCCATCCAGCAGGACCGCCGCCCACTGGGACCTGCCTGCGGTGCCTGGCAGGGCCTGCCCTGCAGAAGGGTTTGTGGACCGTGAGCTCCATCAGGTCTGGACCGTGTCCGCCTCGCTCACTGCAGCGGACAGGCTGTGGTGGCCAGTGAATACTTGTGCGATGAAGCGGGAGTGACAACCGCCAGGCCTCCTGCCGGTCCTGTCAAATGCCCTCCTCGCCTCCCTCCTTGCCTCCCCCTCGCTGGGTGGGCCCTCCTGGTCCAAAGGTGAGAGCTCACCCTCACCTCATGGGGGCGGCGCTGAGGGTCAGGGGCAGCCCTAAGGATGGCACCTGGTGACATGCCCTAACCCTGGGACCACACGCTTCTGACATGCTGACACACAGGACCGGTGTTCAGAACATAAGAGTCCCAGGACCACACGCCTCCAACATGAAGGCACATAGGACCAGGTGTGCAGAACACAGAGCGTCATGGGATGACAAGCTTCCAACATGAAGACACACAGGACCAGTGCTCAGATCACGAGTCCCAGGAGCACACACCTCCAACATGAGGACACACAGGATCAGGTGCTCAGAACACAGAGTGTCATGGGACCACACGCCTCCAACATGATGACATACAGTACCAGGTGTGCAGAACGCAAGTCCCGGGACCACATGCCTCCAACATGAGGACACGCAGGACCGGTGCTCAGAACACGGAGCGTCCCGGGACCACACGCTTCTGACATAATGACACACGGGGCTGGTACGCAAAACACAGAGCATCCCAGGACCACACGGCTCTGACATGAAGACACACGGGACTAGTGCTCAGAACACAGAGCATCCCGGGACCACACGTCTCTGACATGAAGACACACGGGACTAGTGCTCAGAACACAGAGCATCCCGGGACCACACGCCTCTGACATGAAGACACACGGGACTAGTGCTCAGAACACAGAGCATCCCGGGACCACACGACTCTAACATGAAGACACACGGGACTAGTGCTCAGAACACAGAGCATCCCAGGACCACACGCCTCTGACATGATGACACACAGGACCGGTGCGCAGAACGCGAGTGTCCGTCCGCCTGGAGCTCCGCAGCCTCTGTTTGTGGGACCGAGGGCCTGGGTGAGGGGACCGAGGGCCTGGGTGAGGGGAGCCTCTGTTTGTGGGACATGGGGCCAGAGGGGAGGCCGCTACTCAGGCGGACGGGTGAGCGGGGCCCCGCTGGGCGCGGGAAGTGCCTCCGGGCTTCATGCCTCCTGTTACAGCTGCTTCTGCTAGGACTCTCCAGAGGGGCTTGTCAGGGGGCAAAAAGGAGATTTATGTGCAGCGTGTTTACTGCAGTGCAATTTATCACAGCGGAAAAGTGGAAACAATTTTAAGGCCCAACAGCAGGGGGTAAATAGTGCCTCGGTGACGGCCTGTCTACCTGGCAGACTTCCCACAGTCGTGGGAGGCCGCGGGGGTGCGTGACCGGCGGGGAGCAGTGCGCCCCGGGGCTGCTAAGGGGGAGAGCAGGTTCCACAGGGCTTGTTCTGGGGCCGGGATTTGTAGAGGCACGTGTGTGTGTGTGTGTGTGTGTGTGTGTGTGTGTGCGCGCGCGCGCGTGTGCGTGTGCGTGTGCGTGTGTAAAATAACAAGAGCGGCCTCCCTGGAGTGAGATTTAAAGGTCATCTTTATTTTCCATTTCCAGCTTTTCAAAAGTCTGGTTGAAAAGGGGGGAAAGGCCTTTTTCTTGCCAGGGCTCCAGGCCCCGGGGGGAGGAGGGGTCTGGCGGAAAGCCTTTATTTTGAGTTTTCTCCTGAGCGCAGGCAGGTGACGTCACGCTCGTGCCTGGGCCGAAGCGGGGAGGACGGTGGCTGAGCGAGGGCCGTGGGATGAGTGTCAGACGGGGCAGCAGCGCTGTGCCCAGCGCCCGGCGGCATCTGGGTCCCCTCTCTCCCGTAGCCTCGGCCACCTGCCTTACCCCCCAGCTCTCGGCAGAGGCAGGGAGAGCCTGGGCCAGGGCTGGGAGGCCCCGCTGAGGGCCCTGGGGAAGGGGGCTCCACAGGGGCGGGGGGGGGGTCCCATGGGGGCGAGGCTGCAGTCCCTCCCCGTCCTTGCCCTCCAGCCTCAGGGAGACTGTTCTGCAGGTGAGGCCTGGCCAGGGCCCTGCGAGAGGGAAGGGGTTGGGGGGAGAAGCCTTCACCCTACACGGAGGGGAGTATGGTTGCCTGTTGGTCATGGGGTGTCCGTGTGCCAGTCTTTCCAACGTCCCTGAGTTCTTGAGGCCGAGTCTGTCTCCTTGTCCCCGGCCGGCAGGGTCTGGGACAGAGCGAGGGCTCGCGGCAGCTGGTCCAGCGATGGCGTTAGGGTGTCGGCGAGGAATCCAAGGGCTTGGACACGACTCTTTCTTGTCTCGTGGACAGAGAGATGCTTTCGGAGGCAGAAGGCCGAGGCAGAAGGCCAAGGCCGGCCAGTGGCTGTGTGTAATAAGCCAAGGGCATGGGCTGGACCCATGGGGCATGGCGCCCCTGCTTCCCTGTGCACTAGGGCTCCAGCCCAGCTGGGCACCTGCCCGCGCAGACCCTCAGCCCTTTCGTTACGGGAATCTGCGGTCCTGCCAGGATTCCTGTTCCTGTTCTTCTCCCACATTCATTCAGTCAGTCAGTCAGGCAGGCGTTCATTCAGCTAATGGTCCCGCTCTGTTCCCGAGGCTGGCGATCTAGAGGAACACGGCCCCATGGTGCCAGGAGCTCGCAGCCCCGACAGGCGGGCCCTGAGCCCAGTTCTCTGCAGCGCACACGGGTGCCCTGAGCCCAGTTCTCTGCAGCGCACACGGGTGCCCTGAGCCCAGTTCTCTGCAACGCACACAGGTGTCCTGAGCCCAGTTCTCTGCAGCGCACACGGGTGTCCTAGAAGCAGCCCAGCAAGTGCAGGCGTCGGGTCTGCCGGCCGTGGGAGGCTCGCGCGCCTCCTCACCAGGAGTGGGGACAGGGGTTGGCCACTGCGGGGTGGGGACGGCATCACCGGCCAAGGTTCTGTCCTCTGCACGCCCAGGGACCGCTGGACGCCCAGGGACCGCTGGACGCCCAGGGACCGCTGGATGCCCAGGGACCACTGGATGCCCAGGGACTGCCGGAGGGAGTGCCCGTGGGCGGTGCCCATGTCCCCCCGGAGGCAAAAGACAGGATTGAAAGGGTGAAAAGACTAAAGATAATACTAATAACAATTTTGAGAGCTTCGTGGCTTAAGGGACAAGTACAGCTAGGGTCATAGATGTGGACGGTTGTTCCTAAGGGAGAGGGGGTGGTGGGGACCCTTCCAGCTGCTGCCTGGATGCCTCCCCTGGGGCGTGGCCCGGGAGGCGGGCCTCCACTGCCCCTGGTGAAGGAATTATTTCCAGGAAACCCTGTGCTTCTGCCGCAGTGGCTCAAGGGGAGCCCAGGAGGGTCCTGTCCAGGATTGGGGGGAAGGAGGGGGCGGGGCCTGGGCAGGTCAGGCCAGGAGGGCGTGTTTGCTCTGAGGCCCTGGCCCTGTCCTGGGCTGTGAGTCAGGGTGTGGATGTGGTGCCAGCGCCTTGGAAAGTGCCTCGTGCTGCGGGGACAGGAAGTGGGGGGCGGGTGGAGCGTGTCCGGGAGGCAGCGAGGCCTCTCCCGCCTCCGATCTGCTTTCGCTTTCCCACCTGAGCCGTAACTGAGACTAGCGCTGAGGGGACAGGGCCGTGAGTCCGGGCCCAGAGCGCTGCCTCTACTCGTGGGGCCCCTAAGACATGGGCGGAGGGCGTGTCGCTAGGCCAACACGAATGTCACCACAGTGAAGCCCTGGACGGTGGCTCAGCTGGTGGACTGTCGTCCGTGCACCAAAAAGGTTGCGGGTTCGATTCCCAGTCATGACACATCCCTAGGCTGCGGTTCAACCCCAAGTCGGGGCATGTATGGGAGGCAACTGATTGATGTTTCTCACATCCATGTTTCTCTCTCTCCCCCCCTCCCTGCCCCGCCGACCCCCACCCCCAAATCAGTAAACATTTCCTGGGGTAAGGATAGATACATATTCTCACCACATCGACACCACGCTGTTTGACACTTGCCCTGTGTGACCACAGCCCAGCGCCTGACTCTATTGGACACGGAATGGCCACCACCCCCACCCGCCCCCCGCGTGAGCTCCTGCACTTGCGGGAGGCCCGTCCCACCGGGCACTGGACAGGCCTCTTCTAGGAAGGCCTGAGGCCTGGGGGGCATTGTTCCTGAGACCACCTGTTCCCTGGTCTGGACTTGCTCCCTGCCAAACCCCCCCGCCCCAACACACACACACAGACACACACACACACACACACACACACACACACACAGACATTGGATAAGGAGGAATTCATGACTCGGCAGAATGAAAGTGAACATTTAATGCACCATTTGATCTTCTTAAACACCAGGATCTCCTTTGACAACACTGTGCACCTCTTATGCCGCAGACAATGTCTCACACGGAAATGGCAGCAGCTCGTGGCTCGCGGCCCCAGTCTACGCGACCATCACTCCCGGTGCCAGGGGGTCCTCCGGTCGCCTGCCGTCCGGGCCCCCGTGGGGACGGCTGACTGGCCGCCCAGCTGTGCACAGGCCCAGGCGCAGACCAGCCTCCTTCTAACGGGCTGCCGGGCCCTGCCCACGGACAGAGTCGCTGCATTTCTGACTTTAACAGATGAACTTTATTAAACATTTTTAACAGCAAACACTCGTAAGCTAAGAACTCCATGTTCAAAACGGCACCAATCTTTTATCCAGTTAAACAGTGAATTTCAAACAATGACATTAAATACAACCATTGACTTTGCCAACAGGATTTCATGAACTTGGTGAATGTTCTGTTTCAGACACGATAAATGCACTTGGGCAGGCCTTGTCGCCAACGTCCAGCGGGCCCGTGGCTACGCGAAGCATATTTACATACACATACATACGTGACGGAGCTGGAGGAGCCACAGGGGCATTTATCACAACGTCCCCGTTTTACAGACCAGAGAGTTCCAGGGAAGTCAGGCCACCCCCCAAAGCCACAGGACCAGGGTCAGAACCGGGTCGGAGCCGGGCCCCTGTCCTGCCTCCTCACCACGCCGCAGACCTTCGCACACATGCACCCGCCCCGCCCCATGCACACACGTCAGCGCCTCCGTGTGGTGCGCCACCGGACACGCACCTGGAGCCGCAGCAGCTCGTGGAGGAGCCCCAGACGCACGCGGGCTGGAGCCAGTCCTGCCAGGAGCCCCGCGGTGCACGGCCACCTGCTGACTCAGCGCTGTCTCCCGCCGCGGCTCCCACTCCTTCAAAGCCCATTACCCGCTCTGCTACCCGCTTTCTCTCCACAGGACCCCACAGGGCAGCTCTCGGGACCCCGACCCTCCATGGGGAGCCCAGGGCTCAGCACAGTCCAGCGACCCGTCCAGGCTGCACAGCAGGTGTCCTCACTCCAGGAGCGCAAGGCGTCCCTCCTGCTCACCTGCCTCTGCCATGAGCCAGGGACCCCAGCCCTCCCGCTCCCGCCGGGGGAGGGGACCAGACCCCCCACGCATTTCGGGCTGTAAGACTCACTAAAGTGCTTTGGTTTCTCCAGGAAAAGGCGGTGCTGTGTGTCCCAGGTAAGGAGCTCTGGCTGCTTTTCCACACCTCTCAGGGGCAGCGGGCGGGCTTTAGGGGATCGCAGGAGCCGAACCCCTGTGCCATTGTTTTTCAGATTTCAGCCTCGAACCAGCCGGGTCCTCTCCACTGCCCCCCACCCAGGCCCACGGAGGCAGATTTCCAAGCCCCTCATCATCAAACGCAGAAGGAAGGTACCTCTTCCCCATCAGCTGCTCACATAGAAACAGCTCAGCCTGGAGCTGGCCCTGTGCTGGCAGGACTGGGCCCTCATCCCTGTTCTCCTGGCTTCTTTCTTTCTCTTCCCTCCCCGGCCCCTGACTCGCCAGAGGGAGGGGAAGAGCCCCCGCAGACCCACCGAACGCATGGGGACGCGGAGTCGCGGACGGCAGCGCCCACCCTGACGCACAGGTAAGTGATAAGTCGCAAGCGATGCTCCGGAGCCACATCCCGATTTACAAGTAAATTGCAGCCTCTTAGTCGAAGGCGACGAGGGGGTGTCGGGCAGCAGAAGGGAGGATGCAAGAAATGAGCCTTTTTTGCTGCGGAGGTGATTTCTATGTCCACGCGAGGGGGCGCACGCGGGGCCTTGGCCTCACCCCTCCACGTGGGCGTGGACAGCTATGGGGGGAGGATGTCGGCTACGTGCAAGGAAGGCTTGACCGCCTCCAGCTCCACGTGCCCCCCACTGTGACACCATCGGTTCTGAGTCGGGCCGCCCAAAGGCAGATGTCTTTGTTTCGAGGTGGATTAAAGCAGCTTCTAAGAATCTTCAAAAAGCTTTTTCGGGAGAATATGAGTTTGAACGGTAAGCACGTCTCGTGGATTTGGAACCGTGTTTTTATCTGGAAATGATAAGCCGTTTATAACAGAAAAAATATGTGTTTGTCAGGAAGACTGCTGAGCGACGCAGTTTGTGGGTTTTTATGGGTGTTGACGGATTTGCTGGAGGAGGAGGAAGAGCTATGACAACGCAAGGAAACTACTTCCACGTCCTGTGCGTGCCCGTCCCCCAGGGCAGACCCCTCAGTGCCCTGGCAGCACGGTGTCCTGTGCTGCTCCACCCGGCCCAGACCACAGCGGGCAGGGCCGGCCCTCGGGCAGACGGGGCTCCGTGCGGCTTGCTGAGTTGCACCCTCCGCCGTGGACAGGCTCCAGGGACAGGGGCATAGACAGTTTATCCAGCGTCGGCTGGTCGGGGACAGAACTTTCCACGTGCTTCTTCCTGGCCCAGTTTCATGGCCTTTGACCGCGTGGAAACTCCTCCGATGCACTTGAGGCTGGGCCAGTGTCCCGCAGGAAAGCAGGGCCAGGAAGTCCGTGAACCGTCTGGTCTCAGCGGGAAGAGAACTCCTCTTCAGTCATGTCTCTCAGGCAAAGATCCCTCTTAGAACAAGGAACTGAAGAACATTCACTAATCGGTATTTTGGAAGCGAGGGGTCGGGGTGGCCCAGGACAGACAGCTGCCCGGGCCGACGGCTGCTTTCCCATCGAACGCCGGAGAAAAGTGATGGGTGAACCAACCCAGATCAGCGTGAGAACCGCAGCCCAAAGCAGGGCTTCTTGCTCAGTGTGAAGGGGAACCAGAACCAGCACCGGTGCCTGCGTGTCCGACGCTGGAGGCGCCGCCCTGGGCGGTGCGGGCGCGTGGGGCCAGGGCCACCTGCCGGAGCACACCCTTCGGCTCCAGCTGACACGACAACGGCCGATTCCTGCCTCCTGTCCCCACGCTGGGCTGTGGCCTCGGTCTCCTCCCAGCCTGTCGACGTGGGGCCGACCTCTGCCTTCACACAAGGCCCCGCGCCCGGAACAGCAGCCGGAGATGAACCTGGAGGAGACGAACGTGGGGCGAATTCAAGGACCAGATCAAACACGCAGCTCGTGGGCGGGGCAGACTTCCCGGGAGAAAGCAACGTCGCCTCCACACGAAACACCATCGTGAACGCATGGCCTCACTCCCGGGTGACAGCATCGCGCTTGGTTCTGGGATCCCAGCTTGCTCTGCTGCGAATGCTTCCTCTTCACCCTGAACTAGGGGGCGGGGAGGGGCGGGTTTCAGGCAGGGGATCAGGCTCTGCCTCTAGGTGCTCATTTCAAGTCCCAGTTTCTGTCCTGTCACGTGTGGGTGATGACATCCCTCTGCCTTCGTGCTTCTCTGTTGCTCAGACCGAAAGGAGGCGGGGCCGCCTCGCGCTGTCACTGTAGCAGCTGCAGAGCAGCCCCAGCCCCTGCCCCTGCCCCAGCCTTGCTCCTCGGGCCTGAGGACCGACCGGCTTCTGTGTGGCCCCACGCACAGGTGGGGCCAGGACACACCATCGCAGCCCAGATTCGTGTTTCGTCCGTGTTCACAGGACTCATCCTAAGGCGGCCACAGTGCCCTGAGGTGGCAGCACCGACAACGGCCTCCACCCACTGCTCCCGCTCCCGCTGCCGGCGCCCTGAGGGTCGGCTCACGGGCAGCGTGGGGACAGCCAGGCCGGCGGAAGGCAGCTCCTGGTTCACGCAACCCTCTGACCTCGTGGAGGCCACGAAGACCGGGCCGGGTGGCAGGAGGCAGGTAAGGAGATCTGGGAAGAGCGAAGTCTGTGCTGTTTCCGCCACGTGACCCTCCAGGCAAGGTGCCAGGCCCGAGGCGTCTGCCCAGCGAGGGACCCGGGATGTGCCCGGGGAAAGGCCAGGGGCGCTGCCTGCTGACCTGGATTTGTTCCCAGCAAAGACCAGGCCCCTCACCATGGGTGCCCCCGCGAGAGGCTCTCCTTTCAAACCGCCACCGAAGGGCGCCACATAGAAACTCAAACCCAGACTGGGGTCCCCTGGGGCCGAGGCACTTCCACGACTTTGCTGTCGGACAGGCTGGCTCACCACATGCTGCGACCAGGTGGGCAGAGCCTGCGGGTGGGGAGGCCAGGGGATGGGGAGACCCGCCCCCCAAGGGGACGGACGCCTGGGAAACAAGGGGAAATGTCCGTTTGGAGGAACCCTGTCCGGCAGGAAGATCAGGGACTGAGAACTCCCAGATCTCGGCTCCTACGGCCGAGCGGGGCTGAGCGGCTGGGCACCTGTACCCAGGGGCACATGGACGAGGAGCACACAGGCTTCCCCGGGGCCCGGGCTGCGGGCCGGTGCTGGGGCTCGGGAGCAGGAAGCAGGCTCATAGGTATGCTGAGCTGGAGGGTACACATTTCTGCAAAACCCTGGCACCTCCCAGTGGGTGAGGGCAGGGGCGGGGGGGGGGGGGCGAGCAGAAGGCAGGGGATGCCCTGCTCCCAGCTGGTATCATGAGACAGTCCCCCCACGCTCTGGGCCACGGTTCCCTTCACTAAAATGGGTACAGTAACAACCTCAGGGAGTGTGGCAGGATGAGTATCCTCATCTGAGAACAAGGCTCAGAGTTCCCGGAGCCAAGCCCTGTCTGACCGTCTGCCCGAAGGGCTGTGCTCACAGATGTGATGGGAATGCTTGGGTGCCCAGGCAGGGGCTGTGGGCCGGCTCGGCTCCTACGGCTCCTGGGCTGGCGATGTCTGAGCAGCACTCTGGACAGCAGGACGTGTGTGTGCAACCCCCCGTCCCTTCTTGCTCTCCAGCAGAGGGGCGGAACCTTTTCCCCACCATTTAGATACTTATCACATCATCTGTGGGCCATACACAAGCATCAACTTAAAAATCAGCCTGATGTACTTGGCCAAATGTTTAACTCACCCCTCATGCCTTGGCATGACGCACCGCCCGCGGGCCAGCCGTTCCCCAACCTGCGAGTCTCCAGCGGCACGGCTGGCGCCCCCGAGCGCATCCACGCCCAGGAGGCCTCGGAACCAGCAGACTCCCTGCTCTGATCCACGCACAAACCCAGAGCACAGAGGCGATGGCGCCGGTGTGGGTTCAAGCTTCCAGTCCAGAGTCTTTGGAATGAAATGAGAACGTTGCAGGGCCCTGAACACCCGGATGATCGGGTAACGGAACCTGAACGTGTGGGACATGGAGGGGCACGGTGCGGACACGCACCCGCCCCCAGGACACGCGGGGCTGGTGCAGAGGCCCCTCCCCTTAGAGAAGCCCTGTCCTCTCATCGCTCCAGCTCAGGTGCCTGCCCAGACCCCCTGCCGCTACCCCCTCCGTGGGAGAAACAGCAGCTGGGCCCTGGGGCCTCCACGTGTGGCCGGGTGGCCTCAGCAGAAGAGCCGTGAGAGACGGGTAACATTTATTCACACGCAACACTGACGAGGAAACAGCTCTACACACAATGACTCGGAGACACAAGTCGGAACAGGGCGCAGCGCCCGGAGCAGCGAGCGGGGACAGTCCCGACGGCTCGCTTCGCGCTGTGTTGTGGTTTGCGTCTTGACTAGCACCATGTGCCCACAACGGAGGAGGACGTGAGTGTGTGGGTGACAGTGAAGATTTGCAAGGCACTTAATCAGTCGTCGGGGTGACGATCCGGCGTGGTCTCGGCTTCCACGGCAGCCCGCGCCCACCTGCCCTTCCTCAGCAGCCCAGGGCCCGAGGGGGGTCTTTTGCCAGCGGTCCTTGTGGACAAACAAGTCCTAGAAAGTTCCTCAAAGTGCTTTTTCAGCCTCATGGGGCTTCCACTTCCCTGGGCCTCCCATCATTCTCTCCTCCCACGTGTGTCCGGTGTTGGCACCTCTCCTCCAGAAACAGCACTGCTCAACGCCACCGCAGACTTGCCACCAACCTTCATCCTCCTTCCGTGGGCTCAGCGCCGCCTGCACAGGGCCTCAAGCACGGGCCTGGCTGCAGGTCCCAGGGGCCTGGAGTGTGGGCCTGGCTGCGGGTCCCGGGGGCCTGGAGCGTGGGCCTGGCTGCGGGTCCCGGGGGCCTGGAGCGTGGGCCTGGCTGCGGGTCCCGGGGGTCGGGGTCAGGGGGCAGCGTTGGCTTCACCGGCGCCGGGAGGTGATGTCGAAGCAGGTGATCATCATGAGGTGGGCCTTGCAGAAGTTGACGCGGCTCTCCAGCCGCTCCGTCACGCACTCGAGCGCCTCCAGGTACTCCAGGGAATCCAGCTCCCACACCTGCTCCAGGTCAACTGCGAACGAGAGAGGCAGGTGGGAAAGGTGCCCGCACGGCCCGGTCGGAGCTGCACCCGTCCCCCTACCCTGGGCCCCGCCCTCACATGTGGCTGCCCCCAAGCAGGTAAGGACTGGCTCTGCCCCTTGCTGCTTCCCCCACCCCGTCACCCCTTCCTCCCTCAGCCTCGGGGCCACACTCTGCCCGCTGTGCCTCCCCCACGGGCAGGGCCCACGGGCGAGCGGGTGGCGTGTGCCAGGGGAGGCACGGGGCTGAGGGCTGGGGTGGAGCTGGGAGGCCACGGGAAAGGAGCTGTAAGGGCAGAGATGCGTTTGCCCCACATGCTGTCTTCCCGTATCGGGTCCCCAATCAGTGCAGCCGTTCGGGACCAGATTTGGGCTTTATTTTGTGGTAAAGGGAACAAATACATAAGAGACCAGGGAATCTGTCTCTCAAAGACAGACTTGCTATAGGTGTCACTCATCCTGGGCTGCCTGCCCAGGGGAAATCTCACGGCGTGTGATTGTTTCGCTCAGAATGCTCGTCTTGCTTCTGCACGGTCTGCAGGCCTCCCTAGGCCGCGGTTCTACCCTGCGCGGAGCCGTAAACCCTTGTCGGTTTCAGGCCAGACGCCCGCGTGCTTCCGTGGCCGGGAGCAGGCGTGCCATGCCACCCGCGTGCTTCCGTGGCCGGGAGCAGGCGTGCCATGCTGCCCGCGTGTGGGCGCCCTTCCAGGAGGGAACCCTCATTGGCAGGGGCTCTGGACTGAGACCCAGGGCAGTCATCTTGCAAGAGTGATGCTCACACCCCTCCCCGCCGCCCCCTATGAGGGGGCAACCGTCTCCATGTGATGGGCACCGAGGCCCTGGGATTCGGACTAGACACGGGCTCACCCCGCTTACAGGCCAGGCTGTTCAGCAGCGACCCCGGCTACAGTGAGGTTATCAGGGTTGTCCTGGGGGTCAGAGGCCTGGTGCTTGGCCATGGAGTGACAGGAGGCCCGGCGACACTGCTAATGAGATAACATCCGCGACCCGGGCCTTACACTCGCTGAGCCACTGGTCGGGGTCCAGCATCAGGTGCTGCTTGGTCGCCTCCAGCTCCTGCATCAGCCACTCGTACTTGGCCCGGACCTCGGCGATCCTCTGCTGGCGGCGCTCCAGGGTCCTCAGCTTGACGTTGAAGCCCACTCCCTCCTGGGCAGGTCGGGGGAGAGGCGGCAGGTGGGGGGGAGAGGCGGCAGGTCAGGGGGAGAGGCAGGAGGTGGCGGTGAGAGGTGGCAGGTGGAGGTGAGAGGCGGCAGGTGGGAGATACAGGTGGGGGGCAGAGGCAGGAGGTGGGGAGAAGTGAGTGGGGAGGAGGAAAGGTCTGGTCACAGGGAATGTGGGGGGCCGGGGAAACCCCAGCCCACTCTCAGCTCAGACACCCCACCACGGGCAGGGCCACCACAGGCACCTGTTACATTTAAAGCAGCTGCATTGGGAGCTGGAGCCAGAAAAGCCCCCATCACCACGGCCTCCCAGCCCTGGAGCCTGGAAGGCGTTTAGACGGGAAACGTGGAGCCCTCCCGGGTCCTGTGCTGGGACTGAGCCCCACCCCCCGGGAAGCCGGCTGGGGAGTCCCCTGGCCCGAGCCCCCCAAGGGCGCTGCCCCATCCCTGCCCCAGGGACCTGCTGGGGGGCGGGGGACACCCCACCCGGGGCGGGAGGAGGCGCTCACCTTGCCGCTGCCCCCCCGCCGTCGCTGCAGCCGCTCCACGTCATCGATCTCGTAGACTTTAATCTCGAAAGGCTCCCCAAGGCCCCTCTGGCCGCTGCGCAGGGGCCCGTCCACCCAGCGGAGCCCCGAGCCCGGGGCTGGCTTCCTCGCAGGCGAGGGCGTGTCCAGGGACAGCGCGGGGATGAGCCTCCGTCTCTGGGAACCTGGAGGGGTTGAGCCCAAAGTTCATCTTGTGAATTCCCATCTTTTAAGCAGGTTCTCTGAGATGCACGGGGTGGGGCCGTGCCAGGGCCTGGAACCTGCAGCAGAGGTGAGTCTGAAACGCCCCAACGCCCCTCACTGAGCGACTCAGCACTGAACCCCTCAAACAGGCTGGGCTTTACCTCCCGAGGCGCGGGGAGCCCTGCCTCACCGTAGAACCACCTGCAGTCCCACCTGAGCTGCGCACACACCCACATGCGCCTCATCACAGCCCCGCCGGGCACCTGGGCTGGGACAGGCTGCAGTGGGGTTAACAGGGTTGTTCTAGGGGTCAGAGGCCTGGTGCTTGGTCGTGGAGTAATGGGAGGCCCAGCGACACTCTAATGATGATGATAACATCGGGGCAGGAGCTAGAAGTGCAAGTGCAGTGACACAACAGCCCAGGGAGGCCAAGTGCAGGCGAGGAGCAGTCACTCACACGCAATCACACGGCAAGAACCGTGTGCGCTGCCAGGTGGCACTGGAATACAGGGGGACCCCTTTGTAAATTATGTAAATGTCTAATCACCTGAAACTAACCCTCTCCTATATAATAAAAGGCAAATATGCAAATTGACTGAACTGTGGAACGACTGGTCGCTATGACGCACACTGACCACCAGGGGGCAGACGCTCAACACAGGAGCTGCCCCCTGGTGGTCAGTGCGCTCCCACAGGGGGGAGCGCCGCTCAGCCAGAAGTCGGGCAGCGCCAAGGATGCCCAAGGGCTCCTGGACTGCGAGAGGGTGCAGGCAGGCTGAGGGACACCCCCCCCCCACCCCGAGATTCATGCACCAGGCCTCTAGTGCCAAATAACACTGAACGTAAAGGGCACTCGTGTGCGGGTACCTTGGACTTCCTGAGCGGTTCAGATTCGGTTACCAGTAAATCCATTCCGAGAACGAACTGGGGGCACCCACCAACCACTGCGGGGCCTCCCTGCCCTCTCGCCTCCCCCCAGGTACTGGGAGCCTAGTGTAGGGGGTGTGTGTTGGGGGGGCAGGGACCCTAGGAACTGTGAGTGCCAGAGGGCGGGACGGGCCACAAGCTGCACCCTCCTGGGAGAGCACTGACCACAGGCCTGGGTCTGGGTCCCGCATGGATGTGACTTCTCGGGCTACTGCACGCGCCACCCCCGCTGCAGACCTCAGTCTCTGCCAACGACCACTGCCTTCCAGTTGCCAGAAGGTCAAGGGAAGCAGTTCGGCCGCCAACGGCGTGGGGCCTGGCCATAGCCTGAACCAGCCTCCGGCCGCTGGGTTCCTCCTCCTCCGTCCCTCCCTGCTCATCAGCCCAGCCCGCCCAGCGCAGAGGGCAGGTAGGGAAGGCGTGCAGGCTGATCGCTAACTGCGTGAGCTGTTGCTGCCTCAAATGGCCCAGATCTGACCTGAGAAAGCCCGCTCCCCAACAGGGACTGAGTCCCCACGGCCCTGGCGGCTGACCACACGCACGGAGGGTCCCTGACCGCTCACAGCTGCTCTCTCCCCGGCAGCACACGGCCCCAGGAGAAGTCTGACATGTTCAACATCAGAGTCTGGACAGAAGAGCCACATGGAGTCTGAAAACTTGGCCTCTTATTCAAATGTCGGGAACACGGCACCTGGGCGCGAGGCCTCACAGCACCGGGGAACGCTCATCGGTCCGGGCCCCGAGAGCCCCCTCATCAGCTCCCCATCTTCCCTCTCACTCAGGTGTGGGGCTAGGAAGACACGAATCAAAAAGCATGAGGCCCCAGCGAGGGAAGGAACCACAGACATCAGAGGTAAGAGGACAGAGGAGTCCGTCTGAGTGATCACACGGAGCATGAGCCGCGCCACCACATCAGGCCAGTGAAAGCACAAAGCATCTCCCACACTCGGTGCCCACACCCACGGCCACGTGACCAAAGCCACGCAGGGCTCTGACCACCAGACTGCACGTTCCATGGCACACAGTGAGTCATCCCAGTCCCAGAGACTTGGGGCCACCAGCCCCACATCAGCTTCTGCAGCCACAGGTCAGAGCGCAGCGGCTCTGACTGCTCCCTGGGGAACCAGCAGCCACCTCTCTGGGCCTGGGTGGGGGAGCCGGGGAGGGACAGGCAGCCTGTGCCCACAGGGGTGAGTGTGGGGGGCACCACTGGTTGCCCCAGCTCCCGCCTTTCACCAGGCTGCTGACCAAGGGGCAGTCACAGCCTTGAGGCCTCGTCACACCCCAACAGTAGGTCTGATTCACAGTGAACCCTCCATGCTGTCCCAGGCGTGGCCGGCAGGGGACAGGCTTGGGAAAGGAGAGACCAGGTGTCGGTGCCACCTGCCTGGGCGCCCTCACCACCCGCAGGGCAGGCAGCATGGGGTCCGGCCCTGCGCCCCTCTTTGCCCCCTGTGCCCCCCCTGCACACCCGGGCCCAGGTGCCTACCTGAATTGGAGCGTTTCTTTGGGGTCTTGAGGCTCCGGCACCGCCCGCCCACGGAGCTGCTGTTCTCGCTCATGGAGTCCTGGGCGGAGGACGCGCTGCCCGTGGCCTCGCTGTCGCGCATCATGCTCTCGTAGCCGCTGCTGCCCCCGCTGTGGTAGAACAGCGCCGTCTTGCCCATGGCGGGCGGCAGCTCCCCACTCAGCACGCTGCTGTTGTCGCTGCCGTGGCCGCTGCTGCAGCGGTGCGGCTTCCGGGGCGGCGTGACCTTGCTGTAGGGCGAGGGCAGCAGGGGCACAGCCGCCAGCTTGTCCTCGGGGACCCCGGCGCGCTCCTCCTCGGGCCCGGCTCGCGATGGCACGGCCCTGGGCCCCGCGCCGCCCTGGAGCAGCTCTGAGATGCGCCCGTTCACGGCCCGGAGCGGCAGCTTGGCGGCCAGGCTGGCACCCCGGCTGCGGCTCAGCGACTGCGTAGACCAGGACATGTGCCTCCCGCCGGCGGCCGGGGTGCAGCTCTGGCCCACGGACTGCGGCAGGGACTTGGTGGAGAAGCTGAGCGTCTTGGTGGGGGGCGTGGACAGGCTGCGCGCTTTGGGGCTGGCCAGCAGCAGCTTGCTCACGGCCGAGATCTTGGACTGGCTGGCCTTGGGCGAGGCCCCGGCCGAGGGCGGGGGGCCGGGGTGGGTGGGCGAGGCCCCAGCGCTGCGGCCCAGGCTCCGGCCCGCGCGGGGCATGGTGCTGTCCTTGCCCGCCTGCAGCCGCGCGCTCATGGAGGCCAGGCTCTCGGCGCGCTCCAGCGAGAGGCATTCGTAGTGGCTGGCGGTCGCCCTGCCCAGAGAGTTGGTCCTGCTGGCCAGCTGCTCGAGCTTGGCGCTGAAGAGCTTGCTGCTGCTGCTGGTGCTCGTCCTGCCGCCCGGCTCGTCGGGGAAGCTGGCCAGGAAGGGCGGGGGCTGGTTCGAGGGGCTGCTGGTGCCGCTGCTGCCGGCGCTGTGCTGGGGGCTGGCCCGGTTCTTCTGGTCCAAGCTGGACTTGCGGACGGGGGGCAGCGGCGGGGTGCCTTTGGGCCGAGCCAGGACGCTGTGCTTGGGCGACGCCACCTTCCTCTCCAGGGTCGCCCGGGAGGCCTGGCCACCCAGAGCGACGCCGTTGGTCTCGGGGGCGCAGTGGTAGCAGAGGCCATCGAGCTCCTGCCGGCCGCCTTTCTGGAAAGCCCGGGGCAGGCTGCCGGACTGCAGGCTCCTGCTGGGGGGCACGGGGCTCTGGGCAGCCCCGCTGGGCTGGGCCGTCTCACAGCCGTCCACCACCCTCCTGACGCTGTCGGTCCCGGGGGAGGCGGCCACCTCGCCGCTCAGCCTGTGGCCGGGGCTGGTCTGCCTGGGCTGGTCCCGCTCGGCTCCCGCCTCGGGCTGTGGGGGGCCCGTGGCCGCCTCGGGCCTCACCCCGTCCTCCCTGGGAGGCGCAGTCTCTTTCTTGGCCTCCTCCTCTCGTCTCAGCCACGGGTCCTCGAACGTCATCCCCTTCCTGGCGCTGGCCTCCTTGCTCTCCTGGGGCGGGGCTGCCTTGGGGACGGTGGCGCCGATCGCCTCAGGGCCACGCCGGGGGCTCAGGGCGATGCAGGGGTAGACGGTGATGTTGGTCTTCACGGGGACGCACCCTCCGCCGCCGCCCAGGTGTGCCGTGTTGGAGATGGTGACCATGGCCTTGCCCAGGGCGGAGACCTTGCAGCCTTGGGGGGCGGTGGCTTTGGGGAGAGAGCCCTCCCCCAGCTCGGACAGGATGAGCACGCTGTCGGGGCCCGCCCCGGGCTTCTCTCGGCACACGGCGGCCTTCTGGACGCTGCCCAGGAGCTCCGAGGCCGGCGGGTCCGCCAGCGCCTCCCCGTGCCCGAAGCAGGTCTGCGCGATGAAGCTGTGGCAGGACTGCTCGCCGTCACTGCCCGCGCTGGTCTCGCTCAGCCAGGAGCTGATGGAGGACCGCCGGCTGCCTGCCTCCCGGCCCTTCTCCTCCAGGCCCAGCGTCGGGAGGGGCAGGAACTGCGTGATGCTGACCTCGGAGACGGGGGCCGCGCCCGGGCCGCGCTCCAGGTCCTCGCTGACGCTGCCGATGATGCTGACGGGCCGCGAGCCCGAGGCCAGCGCCTGCACCGAGCAGTCGCTGTTGAAGCTGATGATGCTGGCGGGGCGGCCGCCCAGGGCCCCGCTGATGGTCAGCTCCTCCACCAGCGTGAACACCAGCTCGTCCTCGCCGTTCAGCTCCAGCGGCTGCTGCACCGTCACCGTCGTGGTGCTCACGACCCCCTTGGAGCCTGGAGACGCCGCCTGGCGCGTGTCATCGGAGGGGCTGTGGGAGGACCCCTGGCTCTCGGCAGACAGGGACTTCTTCAGGACCTGGGGGCTCATGCCCACCGGGGGGGTGCGCCCCTCGGGTGGCGGGGCCTCCCCGGACACCACGCCCGAGTCCGTGCTCAGGGGGGACGGGGGCGCGGGGCCGGGCAGGACGCCCTTCTGGGTGTGGACTTTGCACCGCTGCGAGGGCGAGCTGGCCGGCCGGTACTCGGCCGTCTTGGACAGGCTGGCGACGCCCAGCCTCGGGGAGCCCAGGGGCCGGGGCTTGCCCTCCACGAACCCGCAGGAGGTCAGGCTCTCTCGGCTGCTCTGCAGGCTGGGGCTGCGCACGAGCTGGGAGGCGCCCTGCTGGCTGGTGCCGCCGGGGACACTCCGGGGCGAGGCAGGGGTGGCGGCCGGGACAGGCGAGTGACCCCTGGGCATCCCGGAGGCCGGGGCGTCAGCACCTCCTCTGTCGGTCAGCTGGCCGTCTGACCCCGCGTCTTCCTTGTCAGACTCACAGAGCAGGCTGGCCCGGGCGGCGGGGCTCAGCGGGGGGCCCTTGCCCGCCTGCTCCGCCCCGCCCTGGGCAGGCAGCTCCGGGAACGGGAAAAGGCCGGGCTCCTCGCGGCCGTCGATGCAGTCCAGCCGCTCCTGCAGCTCCGCGAACGTGTTGCACTTGAGACAGTCCCTCTCGGGCTTGCGGGCCGCGGCCGCCCCGGCCTCGGGGGGCCGGCTGTCACCCCTGGGCTTCTGCAGGGCCGGCACGATGGGCACGAAGTCGGGGGGGCCCTCGTTGTCCGTGAGCTCCTTGTCGGAGAGCGCCGTGCCGCTGGGCCCGATGTAGATGACCGTGTCGCAGGACTGCTCGCTGCTGGAGGAGTAGTCGGGGTCGCTGGACAGCTGCGGGACGGGGAAGTCAGGGTCCACGGCGGCCCTGGCCTGGAAGGGCCGCAGCTGCGTCGGCCTGCGCATCCTGCCTTCCTCACAGGAGCTCTCTCCCCCCGACGAGCTCGAGGTGTACTGTGGGCGAGAGGACAGTCAGCATGGGCTGCCTCAGGGCCCCCCCAGGAGCCGCCCAGGGACCACCAGGGATGCCGGTTGGCTATAGGCTCCCGGCTGCGGGCTGGCTGCCCTGCATGTGGGCAGTTGCCTGGCTGTGCCCGGCCAGTGCACCTCCTGTGCCAAGGGCAGCCCGTGTGTGGCACACAAGACAGAGTCCGCTCCTGAAGGGGTGACCAGCCGGGCTGGGCTGAGCTCCTCAGGGCGGGGGGTCATGAACTTGGCCCCCCAGTCACTGTGGCACCTTGTCCCACGAAACACTGGCTTGAAAGACTTGCTTGTTATTATTTATGAAAAGCTACAGAAAGGAGGGGAAAGCCCACGTCACCAGCCGGCCCTGAATCAGAGCGACCACCATTGGTCACTTCCTCACACGGTCGTCTCACGCCCCCGCTGGCTGGCTTGGCCTCTGCCTCGCCAGGTGAGCCCAGGGGTGTGTTGCGGACTCTGAGCACCAACCAGCAACCCCTGAGCTCACAGGGCAGAGCCCAGCAGCCTGGAAGGCCTCCTGGACACGCAGGGGGAGGGCCACCTGAGCGAGGGATGAGCAGTCGTCCGGGGCCTGCCACTGAGGGACACGGGACACGGTCTTGGTCTCCGTCGGACCAAGGCCGGTGGGAGCCGCTGTGCGTGAGTCCTTCCGTCCCTCCCATGTGGACGTGCACCCCAGTCAGGGGTCCGGGCTGGACCCCGAAAGGCAGCGACGGTGGGGCCCAGAGTGACGGACGCTCCTGCCCCAGGTGGGCGGGCAGGCTGCTGAGCTGGTTTTTCTGAACGGCTCCCACACCCCTCCCCCACCCGCCAGCTCCCTACCTTTGTTTTCTTCTTCTTCATCCTCAGGACCCGGGAGGCGATCTGGATGGTGGACAGGGTCTCGGCGTAGCTGCCGGCGGCGGCCGAGATGTGCGCGATCATGGTGGTGCGGCAGTTGACGTTCCCCAGGGACTCGCGCAGCAGCATGGTGAGCTTGCTGTCCCTGCGGGCACGGGGCTGCGTTAGGGGCGCCCCCCGGGCTCGGGCCTCTGCAGGCTGCTGCTTGGGGGCCGTGGGTTTTCATGGCGGACTGGTCAGCTCACTCTCTAGCACAAGGCTCTTCGCACTTGGCAGCTGGGCAAGAGATTCTCACCCCAAGGACAGAGCTCATGCAGGCGCCTCCCCTGGCCCCTGCGCCCGGCCGTGACGGGCACCCTGTGTCTGTACCCAGATGGCACACAGAGGCCTGGGAACAGAGCGGGAGGACGGCTGTGGCCAGGGATGCCGCCGCTGGCTGCACACACGGCCCACCCCTGCTCACGGGCCACCCGTCTCAGGCCACCCCTGCTCACGGCCCACCCCTGCTCACGGGCCACCCGTCTCGGGCCACCCCTGCTCACGGGCCACCCCTGCCACAAAGGCAGCCCCCCCGCTGGGAACTTGCATTGAAGATCTGGGTGTCTATAAAACACACAAAGGCCCTTTGCCATGGAGTCGCACCCTGTTTCTTGCTGTTGTCATGTAACTCATGTTTGCACGGAGTGGTAATAAAGGAATTCCTGTTCCTAAAAGTGACGAAACACAGACACAGCCGAGCACTCAGTCAGCAACAGAACAGAACTTCCTAGAAAAGCCTCCTCTGGGGACTCTGCGGGGCTGGGGGGCAGGGCCCTGAGCCGTGAGGAGGCCCAGGCGTTTACATGGTTTCCAGGATCCTTAAACATGGACCTGGAGGCGGCTCTGGGTTCCTCCCTGTTCTTGTCCCCGCTCCTCCCTGCCTGGCTTCCAGAGGACGGCTCACATCTCCAGCCACAGGTCTGCTCAGCTGCCGCCTCATCTCACCTCGGGAGGCGGCCCACTTCCCAGGCGCCCTGGACACACTCAGCTCACGTCCCTTTGTGCGCTCAGCTCACAGACCTTTGCACACTCAGCTCACAGCCCTGTACACACTCAGCTCACAGCCCTGTACACACTCATCTCACAGACCTTTGCACACTCATCTCACAGCCCTATGCGCGCTCAGCTCACACCGTGTGTGCTCACACTCCTGTGTGTGTTCACAGCGTCATCTGAGGGGTTTGTCCTCCCCTCAGTGCCCCTGTCCGCCCCCCTGCACAGCTCCCTGAGGGGGACGGGCCCACTCGGCTGATTCAGTGTGAGACGCAGGCACCGTCCTCAGAGATCAAACCTGGGAAATTGGAAGACATTTCTCACGTGACCTGCATCCGCCTTCGGGGAGGAGAGACGGTGTGAGGACAATCGTTTTTCCTTTCCATCTGGGACCAATTCAGGTGCCAGTTCGGGGCTGCTGGGCTCACTCGGGCTCAGTTCCAGGGCAATTTAAAAATATACCAGGGTTTCCTTTCAAGCAAAATAACCAGTGACAGAGTGAGGAAGGAGAGGGGCTGAATGTGTGTCCTCCCCAAATTCACGTGATGGTGTTAGGAGGTGGGCCTCTGAGAGGTGATTAGGTCAGGAGGGTGGGGCCCCCATGAACTGGTTAGTGCCCTTGTAAACGAGGCCCCAGAAGCCCCCTCACTCCTCCCACCTCGTGAGGTTATGGCAATAAGACGCCATCCAGGAACCGCGAGGTGGGACCTCTCCAGACCCTGAACCTGCGGTGCCTTGAACTTGGACCCAAACCCCTGACTGTGCAAAATAAACTTCTGTGGTTGAAGCCACCCCGTCTGTGGTAGTTGTCACAGGAGCCCAGACTCAGTGAAAAGTATGGGGTGTGGAGAGGAGGAGCCGGCCTGGCGGCAAACATCTAACGCCTTTCACAGCCACCAGCAGTGCTGACGACCGAGGGGAAGTCATGCCTGCTCTGCTCCAGGCAGACAGGCTCGGAGGCGCCATACCTGGCTGAGCCGTGGCGGGTTCTTGGGCGGGGCGGGGTGGGGGTGGGGCAGTGGAGATGGCGTCCATGGGGTCAGCTGTGCGCACATACAGCCAGTTCTTAGTTCTCATGACAGCAGTTCTGCTAACACTGAATAACACGGCACGGCTGCTCCCAGGAACACACGATGAGGTCCCGGAGGCCTCGGTCACAGGGTGTCCGTAGGTCAATACGTAACCTGGCTGCATATGTGTTTCTGTTTCAAGACACCTTATTATCAAATGGATATTTCTTACAAAGAATGAATTAGAGGCACTGACTTCCTTCTAATGAAACACTGGCTGAGGAGGGCGTAACCCGCCTGACCCTGGGCAGCAGGACGTACATTCCTGTGGCCTCCAGCTCACAGCGATCCTGCCCGCTACACTTCCTTATTTAATCAGTCCTCGTCTTGTGAGCCTACAGATACCGCCAGCACTTTCCCATAGCTTCATCATGCACTTTATTTCTTAAATGTATTATTATTTTTAACCCTCACCTGAGGGTTCTGTTTTTATTGATGTGAGAAAGAAACATCGATCAATTGCCTCCTGCACGTATCTGGACCAGGGATCGAACCCACAACCTTTTGGTGTACAGGATGACGCCCCACCCAATTGAGCCACCCGGCCTGACCCATCCATCGTGCACTTCAGATATAACCTAAGACTTTCCATTCCAGCCTGACTACAGATCCATGCATCCTCTTCCTTTTCCCGGATGCACCACATCGTTGGTTCGTGAACATTAGATTCACGCCAACAGCGAACGGAGGAACCTCTGTAACCACGGGTGTCCTCCGGAAGGCACGCCCAGCCCAGCCTTCTTCCGACAGGACTCTCCATGGCACCGCAGGCCACATGGGGCGGGGGCGGGGGTGGGGGCGGGCAATTTAAACAGTGAAATCGCCAGCGGAAAGCTCACACATGCAGAACGCGGGCACCACTGCACAGACTGTAAGAGGACGCTGTTCCCAGGCCGAAGGGGGTGAGAGGGCAGAGCGAGGCCTCGTCCAGCCCGGCTGGGAACACGCCCATCGGCAACTCAGCCTCAGCACCACGCACGTCGGCGAGAGGCGGGAAGCGACACGCGTGGCGATTCGGGTTACAAATGCATCTTAGCGAGTCGGCAGGTTTGCCACACGGGCTCTGCAAATGACATGACGCGGCCGCCATGAAGCTTCTCATGACAAGCCCTGTAAGGGGTGCGTTTTACCCGCATGACCCCGTACATTCTCAGGAAGACACTGAGGACAGAAGAGAGCGGGCGATGCCGTCAGAGCGAACCGTTTGCCCCGTGTTTCCCACGTGATCCCCATTCGTGAGCAGCCAGGACATTTTTTAAGTCCACGTTTCGGGAAGAAGCCAGGGATGTGCGTTGCTTGGCAACCAGCAGCTCGGCTCCCCTTACGGGAAGCCAGAGAAGCTGCCAGCAACGCGCTCACCTGGGCCTCCAGACTCCAGAGCACATCGTCGCGGGAGTGAGAAATAGTGGCGATAAAGCTGCGGTTTCCCCTCATCACCCTGACCCTGTAACTCAGACGACGGCGTTGGGGACGGGGTGAAAGACCGGGCAGGGGACGGAGGCTGCAAACGGCAGGTTTAACTCGGTGTCTTTGTGGGAAAATAAAAGGGTTTAAAGAGCTTCTAGGGCAACGGTCAGCACAAACTCAGTCCGCACCTTCGCACCAAGAGTGAGGCCAGAGGAGGGGAACGGGTGCAGAGCTGCCATTTCCCAGCCCCACTGGCTGGGCTGGGGGAGGGACTTAGAGACTTGGGCTGGGGGAGGTCCTGGCTGGGGGCGGGTCCTGGCTGGGCAGGGCAGCAGGGGCCCCGAGCAGAGACACTGGGGGCAGGAGAACAGCACCATTCTTCAAACAGCCACGTTCTATCCGCACACATTCCTCCCTCCCACACAGTTTTTCAGAATGACGTTTTGTTGTGGTGGTTAATCCTCACCCGAGGATATATATTCCCCTTGATTTTTAGAGAGAGTGGGAGGGAGGGGGAGACAGAGAGAGAGAAACATCGGTGTAAGAGACACATCGATTGGTTGCCTCCTGCACGCACCCCAACTGGGGCTGGGGATCGAGCCTGCAACTAAGGCACGTGCCCTTGACCGGAATGGAACCTGCGACCCTTCAGTCTGAGGGCCGACGCTCTAACCACTGAGCAAAACCAGCCAGGACTCAAACCGCAGCCCACGATAAGGAAAGACGCCTTGAGGCTGGAGGTGTCCCCCCCCTCCCCCCGTCACTGTCCCTCCCTGCTGGAGAACACCCAGGCCTCAGGGGTACTGGGCAGTCCTGTCTTCTGCCCGGGGTCTCCCACACGGCAGGATCCAAGGCTGGAGGGAGACCCTTTATCTGCTGAGGCCCCCACAACACCCAACGGAACTCACCTCCTTTCTAAAGGGGCAGCCGCTGAGCTGGCAGGCTGCCGTGGCGTAAGAGGGCAGGCTGCAGTGGTGGCCAGGTAATTCCACAAGAAAGAGGCCCTTCCTCTCATGACAGCGCTGAGTCCACTTCTCCAGAAAGGAGGTGGCGGACGTGGAGGAAGAAGGTGGGCAGGTGTGGCCACGGCTCCTGCAGCAGGACGAGCGCTGGGCGGGGAGCACCAGGGCGGCCCTGCTTCAGCACCACGGACAGCCCCTCCGCCAGGGCCTGCTTCTCCCTGGAGGAGCGCATCTCTACGGAGGTCGCCAAGGTTGCCACTTACAGCAGACACAGTGCCCTTCAGTACAAACACCGACAGGCAGAGGCCGGCCTCTCCCCTTACGTCAGTTCCTAATACACTGAAAGAAAGGAGCTGAGTTAACCCAGAAACTAACTCAGCTCCAGAAGAATTTGCAAGAGGAAAACTCCTGTGGTCAGCAAGACCCGAAGCAGACATAGAAACCGTAACCATGCGCACACATGCCCAGGTGTCAAGGTGACAACTAACATTAAACGTCAAGACCACCCCCGTATCCCTCACGTCCTGGAGGATGTGAAGCCACTCTGCATCCCAGGAACCATCCCGTCTCAGCCCTCTACCCGTCAACTGCCAGGGTGTGTCGTGGGGCGTCACAGGGACGAGATGCTGGGCAGGAGTTCCCAGCCCTGAGCCCCAAGCCCCAGGCCCTGCCCC